CCCCGGAGCCCCGCCCGCAGCGGGCCACGCCCTCTGGAACCACGCCCCTGCCGGCGGGCCACGCCCCTGGATCCCCGCCCGCCGCGGGCCACGCCACGCCCCGAAGGTCGCACCCCGCTCTCGGACCACGCCCCTAGCCTGAGGGCCACCGCGCCCGGCTTGCTTAGCCTGCGGGCCCGGGTTGAGGAACCAGTAGGGTGAGGTCGCAGGGCGCCCCATCCCGCTGCGCCCGAGACTGCGGACGCTGGAAAGGGAGAGCGCCACCGCCTGGCACCGTCCCGCGCGACCCGGCAGGACCGCGACGCCTGACGCCTGTCATTGGAGAGGGCCGAGAAGGGCTTACGGTACCCGGCCGCAGAGGAGCCCACCGGCAGTACTCAACCCAGAGGCAGGGGAGCTGCTACCCCCAGCCTCGCAGTGGGTGCTTCGCTCCCTGGATCAGCTGTCACCGGGTTCCCCAGGCTGTCATCGGCGCCCCGCGCGAGGAGGGATGCCAACCTCCTCCCCAATACGGTGTTCTTGCCAGGGGCGGGCCCTGCAGTAAGCCCTGGGCATCATTGGGAGCGGCAAGCAGGAGCGCCCACAAGGGCAGGCAGCAAGCCACAGCCCCAATGGGTTCAGCCAAAAGAGGACCCCAGGGACCGGGCCCCTGTGGAGGTTGAGCTGCAGTGGGCAGGAGGTCGTGGGCCGAGAGCCCTCTGCATCCCAACCCTGCAAGGCCAAGGCCCGGAGCCACCGGGGCACATCTGCAGCCAGGAGCTCAGCAGCAGGAGGGGAGAAGGGGAAATGGAGGTGCACAGCCCAGGGCCATTTGGCAGACCGGGAAGGGCCTCCCTGCTCAGAGATTAGAGGGGCTTCCTGCCAAGGACCACAGGCTGGGGTCGACTCTGCCAGTCACTCAGGCCGCTGGGCTGGGTGGGTCCCAGCTGGCAGCCCCACCAGGCCCTTCCACTTCTCCTACTCTTCATCTAGATAATGGGCAGTTTTTTGTTTTGGGGGATTGAACCCAGGGTCTTCATGCTTAGACACACACACACACACACACACACACACACACACACCCCTGCCCTGGGACAGGATCTTGCTAAGCTACCCAGGCTTAATCTGATTTTGTGATCCTCCTGCCCCAGCCTCCCAGAGTGCTGGGATCATAGTGTGTACCCCCACCACGCTCTGCTCTACACAGCCACGACAGAGTGTGAACTTGCTGGAGTGGCTCTGAGGTAGTGGTTCTTGTCGGCCTGTCCCACCCAGACGTCAGCCCCAAGGTCAGCGTGGCTGCCTCTGCTCCCCCATCTTCCCCCACCACCGTCCACCCACACACTGCGGTCTTGGCCTGGCCACAGAAGCCTCTCCAGACTGGAATACGACCTGCTCACTTCCGGTGGCCACTGGGCCACGTGGCAGGCACGGCCCGGGGAGCTGGGACTTCCAGTGTCAGAGGTGGTCCTGGGTACAGGGTGCAACCCAGCACCCTGTCTCTGACCTGGACATGTAGTTTCCACCCGGCTCAGGGAGACACTGCTGCCTCAGCTTCCAGGTCAGAGGCTGCTGTGCTGCGCCGGAGCGAGGGCCCCGTGGGCTCAGCTCCAGGCACAGGCCCCGGGCGCTGGGTCTGCAAAGCAGGGCTGCGAGTTTCCGGTCCACTCCAGGACAGCGGGGACCCGGTGCCTCTGCCTTCCTGCCAGGGCTGCAACTACTCTTGGGGCAGGGAGTGCTGTCTTCACCACGCAGGGTGCACTTGTAGGGTGGAGAGCTTCCAAGAAGGCCTGGGTGCAGGGAGGGGGCCCTCAGGGGAGCCCCAAGAATACTCGCTTCTCACTGGAAGCTGTCTGTAGCTGTGCGCAACCCCGCAGCACCCAGTGCACACGCCTGGGCCTTCAACATCCTGCAGAACCTGCCAGTTCCCTTGCCCTAAACTTGACACAGGGGCTCCCAGGACTCCAGTCAGCGGCCCTCAGACCCCAGAAGGCCAAGCCCTCCCGAAAGCCTGCAGTAGATGGAGAGGCAGGAGGGAGAGAAGGAGGAGGGGAAAGAGAGGAAGGAGGGAAGGAAAGGGGGAGGAGGAAAGGGGGAGGAAGAAAGGGGGAGGAGGAAGGGGAAAGGGGGAAGGAGGGCAAGGGGACGTGGAGGACACACAGGGCTGAGCTGCCCAGGGCACCAAGCGGAGTGCAGGAAGGATGCAGGATAGGGAGCCCAGGAGGGGACTGCAGGGACAGGGCCACGGGGAAGCAGCCTCAGAAAGGGGGGTCCACGCCAACCTGCGCAGCCTGCAAAAGGAAAGCCTGTGTCACCTAGCCTGGGGCCCTACCCTGGGCCCCAAGCCTCCTTCTGCAGGTCCCCAGATCCCTTCTGCTCCCAGCACCAACAGACCAGGCTGTTTTTATTTCGGACACAGCTTTCTGTCAACAGGAAAGGGCCAACAGCAAGTCTGCGACATCTCAAAGCCGTGAGGACAAAGGAGTCCCAGGCTACACAGGAATCCCCCAAGGCCTGGACCTCCCTGTGCAGATCCCCAGATGGCTGTGCGTTCAACCTGGGGGACCCTGGCTGGCAGCCTTCACCCTTCTGTGTGAGTGGAAATCCCTGCTCGAGGGGCAGCGGTGGGCCCGATCACTGAGCTGTCCCTTTGGGCAGGGCCAGCCATGGTCTTGGTCGCTGTCCCTGGCTGCTGGGGGAGCTTCATGGCCTCTGCTCTCAGCCCAACCCCAAGCAGTTGCTGAAAACAGTCGACTGGGGCTGGTGGAGCGGCTCCCTGGTGAGCAGTGCCGGCTTGCTGGAGGCTCAGGTTCCATCCCCACCGCCGTAAGAATGGAAGCAAAACATGTCTACTCGCTTTGACTGCTGTTGCCTTTTTAAACTGAGAGGGGCCGGGTGTGGTGGTGCACGTCTGTAATCTCAGCACACGGGAGGCTGAGGCAGGAGGATCTTTGCCAGTTCCAGACCAGCCTGGGCTACAAAGTGAGCTCAAGGCCAGCCTGAACTGCATAGCGAGACCCTGTCTCAAAAAGACAAAAAAAAAAAAAGGGGGTGGTGGTGGTGCACGCCTATAATCCCAGTACTCGGGAGGCTGAGCTGAGGCAGGAAGATTGTTGTGAGTTCGAGACCAGCCGGGGCTACAAAGTGAGCTCAACTGCATATTGAGACCTTGTCTCAAAAAGACAAAAAAAAAAAAAAAAAAGTTTTAAAAATTAAAAAAAAAATAAACTGAGGTGTTTCTGCTCTTGGCTTTCAAAAGGTGTTAGAGGAGCGACTGCGGGGTGCATCCAAGGAAGACAGTTTAAAGCGCACTGCTGTGGAGGCAGGCTCACACAGACACAGCACCGGAGGGGAGAGCCGAGCAACATCGCCACGAGGTCTGCTGTGGGGGCGAGGAGGCAGGGGACCCGGCCTCTGTGCCCTTTGCATCTGTCACATGTCCCAGCTCTGCCGGACAAAAATACCTCCCAATCGTTTCAATGCCCACAGCTGCCACTGCAGGAGACAAGCAGGCCACACTCTGCGCCCCCGGCACGATCTCTGTCCTATTATTACCCGGGCAGATAAGGGGACATGCGGCCCACGATAAAGGTCAGTCCTCAGGGCGCTGGGTGGGAATGGCCGGCTTTCTTGTTCCTGCAGCAAGAGCTGCAGAGAGCACAGCAGTGTGCAGAGAGGGGACACAGGGCCGTCCCCCTCACCCAGCGCCCTCAACACCAGCCCCCAACCCAGAGGAGCCCAGGACCCAAAGGACTGCTGTACCCAGGGGACACTCCCCACAGGCTGGTGGCTACCTGCCGTGTCCTCGGGGACACAAATGACTCCGCTGCAGGTGCGGCTTCCAATGTGCTCCAAACAAGCTTCCACTCCTTGAGTTTAAACTTCAAGTTCTGCTGGCAAACAACTGAAATTCAGCCCTTTCCCACATTCTTCTAGTCCCTTGAGAGAGAGGAGGAAGTGTGTCTGGCAGCACTGCCGCACTCAAACCTCACATGCTGGGCTGGGGCCCTGCAAGCGGCCAGACGACCAGCTTGAGATGTACGGGGAACTGTTTTTTCGTGTGAACACTGGGAGGTGCTAGTTTCTATGTCCTCAGAGCGATGCCTTAAAAATACCTTTTAAGAGTAAGTTTTGGGGGCGATTTAGCTCAGCGGCAAAAGCGCCTGCCTGGCAAGAACAAGGTCGTGAGTTCGGTTCCTGGTACCGGAGAAAAAAAAAAAAAAAAAAAAAAAAAAAAAAAAAAAGAGTAAGTTTCAACTGCCACTGAAATCCTCCAACACCACGTGGGCCTCATACCTGAAATCCCCGCCCAGCCCCAGGTCAGCCCCCAGCACAAAGCCAGACCCTCCTAGGAGGCCGACTCCACAGGCCAGAGAAACGTAACACTGAGATCTCCAGAGTATAAAGGAAAAAGCAGTGCTGCCGGGGTGTGGCTCAGTGGTGAGCCCCTCAGTAAGGCTGCTGGCAGCTGCATAATTGCACTCACTTTCAAAGCGAGCAAGGGGGAGTGGACACACAGCACCCTTCTCAACTGGCCCAGGGGCTCCACGCACAGGGAGGTGGCTGTGGACAGGCGGCTGTGGACAGGATCGTGTGCTTATTTCAAAACACTAGAAGGCAGGGCTTGGAATGTTTTTCCACAAAGAAGTGACAGGCATTTGAGGGTATGGATACACGTGTCCCGATTTAAACATGACAGTGTACACTCGTGACAAAACATCTCACAGCTCCCCCTAATATGTACAGCTTTAGACTATGTCTTGGTTAAGTGAATTTAATTAAAAACAAAAGCAGAAAAGTACCAGGCAGGGTGGCAACTGCACCAGCACTTGGGAGGCTGATGCAGGAGGGCTGCCACAAGTTCGAGGCCAGCCTGGGCCACATAGTGAGTTCAAAGCCTGCTTGAACTACATGGCAAGACTGTCTCAAAAAACAACTAATAAAAAAAAAAAAAAAAAAGCAGAAAGGATTTGCAACTCTGACTGCAGGCTGAGCCCTGTCCCCCCCACCGGGAGGGGTGGGGTCGAGGAAGAGCTGTAGCCTAGCTTCTGCTGGGGAAGGAATGCAGAGTTCAGAGTGTCGGGGGGGTGGGACCCGGAGGCTGCCCCCTGAGCAGAGGGCAGCGGGGACGAGGCATAGACACTGGAGGCGCAGGGGACACGGGCGGGTCACGGTGCCCAGAGTCTATGCAAGCACAGTGCAGACTGTGTGAGGAGGGCGCAAGTCGTGGGGTGGGAGGTCAGGGCAAGTGCTGCCGGCTGGGGACAAAGGGCTCGCCACAGTGCCTGAGCCATTGGGTGTCTGTCAGCAAACGCCGCAGCCCCAGGGACAGGATTGCTGGAGGGAGAAATTCACGCTTATTCCAGAAGCAGGAGAGAGAAACGAGGCTTCCATGTTAACCCAGACTGGAAGAGAGGGCACAGCAGGTTGGCGGCCCCAAATCTCATTCCCCGAAGCCAGCCTGGCCCAGCGCACCCCACAGAACAAGGGGAAATGGACGTTTCCCTGGGAGCAGCTGCAGATCTCAGGACCTCTCCCCAAGGACCCACAAGCACAGGGCAGCCATGGGGGGATGGGCAGCTGGGGAGTGAGACCACCCTGCTGAGGGCAGGTGGGGCGCATACCTCACACCGCGGGCTTGCACCTCCAGCAGGGGCCCAGCAGTGCCCCCACATCCACCTGCCCAGCCGCAGTGCACATACCCCAACAGCTTCCCAGAAGAGAAACACAGAGAACGTGACCTCTGATGGCCAAGGAAGAGAGTGGAAAATCAGCCCCAGAAAGGCAGCAGAAAACCCCACAGAGCTTGGAAATTAAGCAGCACGTTCCAAGAACAGAACGTGCTAAAAAGCCCGGACTGAAATTCAACACTACCGTGAACTAAATTAGAATGAAGTGACCATTAAAGCTACACTTAGGGGAAACCCATCCCCGTAGAGCCTGCAAAAATTACAAAGCTCAGTAGGCTGAACCGTGCTCCAGACCGAGCAGAAGCCAAGCCCCAGGCACCTGGGATGGGCCTGGCTCAGAGACAGGTCTTTGTAAGTGTGATGGTTAACTTAAGACAGGGGCACCCTCACACTGGCAGAGGGTGGCCCTAACCCAGGTCTGGAGCTGAAGACGCAGGGAAGAGGCTGGTGGAGACAGAGGCCAGAGCAATGTGACCACAGCCCAGGGCCACCTAAGCCCTTGGAGTGGAGGAGGAGGGCGGGACCAGAGGAGCACACCTGCCTCTGCCTGAGATCCCAGGCCTCCCGGCTGCCAGACATTATATTCTGGGCTTTAGGCCACTTGGGCTGTGGAAATTGTTGCTAGCACAGTCCTATGAAACCCATACAGAGAATGAGAGATACTATAAATGTGATAGTAATTTGTTTGTCTGTTTTTTGTGTTTTTGAGGCAGGGTCTCGCTATGCAGTTCAGGCTGGCCTTGAACTCACTTTGTAGCCCAGGCTGGTCTCAAACTCACAATGATTGTCCTGTCTCAGCCTCCCGAGTGCTGAGATTACAGGCGTGCACCACCACGCCCAGCTAGTAATTTTTTAAACGTAGATAAAATGGACAACCTGCCAGAATCACAGAAGAGACAGAAGTGAAGTCAAGGTAGAGCCCGCAGGCCTGGGGGACATGGAAGGCTCTGTGGACACTGGGGACACCACCAAGGATGGTGACTGGCCAGCGCCTCTTGGGTTGCTCTGCTTTGCAAATGGCCCCTTGAAGGTATTTTCTGTTTTTCCGCCTTTGCTCAGAGCTGTGAGTCCTACAAGAGCTGCCTGAGATGCTGACTGCTGCAGTGGCCACAGCAGAGGAAGGCTTGGGTCGACATGGCCCAGGACCCCCACCAGTCACCTTCCTTCAGCTTTTCAGAGCCCAGGACTCCTGACAGCCTCCATGTAACATCTGAGCGTGACCGGGGTCTCGCCTGCCTAGCTCTTAATTAAAGGTGGAATAATGTTTCGCTTGAGGGAAGCGGTGCGTTCTCTAAAGCGTTACTGAGACAGCCCAGCAGCCGTAAGTCCATTGCTATCTCAAGAACAGCCCCAGAGCACAAGGCCCCACCCAGCACACAGCCTTCTGGCCCCTGCCGCTGTCCCTGTACGTCCTCTCTGCTCCCAGGACCTTTCATGTACCTGTGTCCCCCAAGATGGTCTTCATTTTGGGGTGGCAGCCCCTCATCTTCCCAGGTTCCAGCCGTCGGGTGAACACACTTCCTTCCTACTGACTTGGTGGCCTTGGGTGTGGCAAGGAGCTCTCCCAAGGAACTGAAAGCTCAGGTATCAGACCTGAATCTGTTATCAAGGAACTGTGAGGCAAAACTTCCCTCACGGGGGCACATGCCCATGCCTGTCAGCGCGTGTCGGTGTCTGTGAAGTGTGGTGCCATGAGAACACAAGCCGTCCTGACGACAGCCTGTTCAGAACCGTGCCCTTAGATGCAACCCTCACCCACGTGGGAGTGGAAGGGGCTGCCCACGAGACCAAAAGCCACCGGGGCCACCGGGGCCACCACAGCCACCTGGGTCCTTTCCGGGCTAAGGAGAGCCACAGGCCTGGGACTGAGATGCTGCTGTGGAAAATAGTTTATTTAGCTTCCAGCTAAGGCAGTGACTAGTGGGTGGGGTCAACAGTCATACTGATAAAAATTAGAGTAGACAGTGAACTGGGACTTGGACAAAGAATGAACTTCCTCAGGCAGCATGGAATGCGGCCCACCCCAGCTGAAGGGAGGCACTGCACCAGCTACAGCTTCTGAACTTCAGATAAATTAAAATGCAAATTAACCAGTTCCTTCTGAGATCCCAGTTTCCTGTATACCCTAAATGTGGAAGAACTGTGTTAAAAGCCTGAGTCCCAATTGGCCATTTTAAATCCACAGAGCCGTCTCTGATAGGTGAGCGTGCAATGACTGAGTACTTCCTACACTCCGCTTATTTCTAATTAGCTCTAGATCAGAGGGCCACCCAGCCACGCCATTCAGAAGCCCTCCTGGAAATCCTCCTTATCCTTCTCCTTATTTCCAATAAAAACCTTCCTAGTCTCCTCCTTTGGGTCACAACTTCGTTCCTTGCTGTTTGTGGAAACCCAGGCCTGTTACACACGGTACTCCTGCCTCCAGCCCCACCCCCAGGGAGTGCTGCCCACCTCCAGCTGCGGCGTCTCCTAGAACACGCATCTGCACACACGTGTGCACACACAAGCCACCCAGCCCACAGGCGAGTCCAGCATCGCCTCACCCCACCATGTCCGTGGTCACATCCTTTGCTGAAGCCACCAACCTAGGCTTCGGGGTGGGGTCAGGGCACTGGGGAGCCGGGCCCACACTGCATTTTCCCTAGACAAGGTTTAAACCCAAGCAGCCACTGACACTACTGCCAGAACCTTATTTCTGGATGTGCTTCAGGAACCACTTGGGAACTGCCCCGAACAGCTCTCGGTGGACATGAGTCCATCCGCGGGTAACTCTCCTATGGTGTCATCAAGGTGGCAGCCCCGGAACCCCTGTATCTTCCAGAAGCCATGCTTCTGCTGCTGTCTGTGGCCCAGGGGTCCCCGTCCAGGGGCCTGGCTAAGACAGCGTGCTCCTGCAGCCTCTCCCCATCTGCCTGAGTGTGAGCCCCAGTGGACAGGAGGGCGTGGGCGCCGTGAGTCCTCTCTGCTCCTGGCTCAGGGCTTCCTGCTCTTGAGTGTGCAGTGCGGATCCCATGTCAGTATGGCCCACCACACTTGAACAGGCAGCCCTGGGACCCATAGACTCCGTGCAGCTGCCTGTCTCGTGTGTGAGTCAAAGG